TCCATCTCCAACTCTCAGACCATGCTCAATCTGATGCTGGGGTTGGGCCCTTCAATAAACCGACGAACCCGCTCTCGAACAGTAGCAACCAAGGCTTGTGCATGCCTAGCCAAATCACTGAATCAGACCGCATACTCTTACATGGTCATAACACCTTGGCACAACTGCTCAAACTCTGCGCGCCAAGCATCTCTTAGACTGTGAGGAACATACTCCCTCGGGAACATATCTGAGAACTGAGTCCAAGTGAGTGAAGCTGCCTCAGTCGGACTATCCAACTCGTGTGCACACCACCACTGATAGGCCGCTCCTCTAAGATGGAATGTAGTGAAAAAAACCCCACTAGTCTCCGCAACACCCATAATACGGAGGATGCAGTGGCACTCCTCAAGAAAACCCTGGGCATCCTCTGACGCCAAGCCACTGAAAGTAGGTAGGTGGTATTTCTTGTACCTCTCGAGCCTGAGTTGCTCTGCCTCAGAAGCTATTACCCTAACCTCGGGCTGAACTGGAGCTAATGGCTGTATAGGTATGATATCTGGATCCTGGTCTACCTAAACCCGCTATTCTGGGGTACCGGCAATGGAAGTTTGTGCTCCCCCCAGCCTAAGATGTGGCAGGAGCAAGAGGTATCAATCCTACCTGAGCCAAGGTGATGAACATGATCAGAAACTGGGCTAGAGTCTCCTAGAGGGCTGGTGCAGTAACATGCGTCTCAGGTGCCTACCCTCCAACTGGAGCTACTGGTGGCTCCTTTGTAGCAGCTCGTGTGGGTGCTCTGGCTGCACCACGTGGACGTCCTCGCCCTCTACCCCGACCTCGGACTCTCGCGGTTCTAGCAGGGGGCGCGAGTGTCTGATCATCCGATCCAGCTGTACGTGTCCTCACCATCTATGAGAGAATAGAAAGACAGAAGTTCAGAGACCGAAGTCAAAATCTCACACGATAAGGAATCAAAGAAAGTGAAACTTTTCCCAAAAGTTCCATAGCCTCCCGAAGATTAGTACATACGTCTCCGTACCGATCCGCGAGACTCTACTAAACCTACTTATGACTCATAACACCTATGAACCTAGAGCTCTGATACCAACTTGTCACGACTCCAATTTTCCTCCGTAGGATGTCGTGATGGCACCTAGTTTCCAAGACTAGGTAAGCCTAACAACTTGCGAAATAAATAAATAATAAGTTGAACTCCAATCTCAACACATGATATATAAATATGAAACTGCAAATCCATAATTTACAACTCCCAAAACCTGGTAGACATAAGTCACAAGCTTCTAAGAGTAAGTAGTAAATTTCTCTATACATCAAAGTCTAATGAGAATAAGGAAAGCAACATAATAAGGATAGAGGGGGACTCTGAGGTCTGCGGACGCTGGCAGAGATACTTTGAAGTCTCCATGTACAGTCCAACTCACTGGTATCTGATCTAGTGGGAAGAACCTGGATATGCACAAAATGATGTGTGGAGTGTAGTATGAGTACGCCACAACGATACCCAGTAAGTGCCAAGCCTAACCTCGGTAGAGTATTGACGAGGTCACGTCAGGCCCTATTGGTTTAAAAGGAAAGTAAAGCAGAAGATATAATAATATTTGAAATGACTAAAAATTTAACAACGAGAAACCTTAGAAAATAATAGCTCAACAAGTAGAGGAAAACAACATGGGCACTCTCGAGGTACCGACTCGTAGTCCCAAATATGAATATGCAAGACATGGGGATTCCCGAGACACCGCCTCATAGTCCCAAAGTAAATATGCAAGACATGGACCTCGTAATCCCAAAGTAAATATGCAGTACAAGGGGGATATCCCGAGTTAACGCCTCGTAGTCCCAAAGTAAATATGCAGTACAAGGGGGATATCCCGAGTTAACGCCTCGTAGTCCCAAAGTAAATATGCAGTATAGGAGGATCTCTCAAGGAACCGTCTCGTAGTCCCAAAGTAAATATGTAGTACAGGGGGATCTCCCGAGGAATCGCCTCGTAGTCCCAAAGTAAATATGTAGTACAGGGGGATCTCCCGAGGAATCGCCTCGTAGTCCCAAAGTAAATATGCAATACATGGGGATATCCCAAGGAACCGCCTTGTAGTCCCAAATATAAATATGCAGTACAAGGGGATCTCCCAAGGAACCGCTTCGTAGTCCCAAAGTAAATATGCAACAGGTAATCGAAGGAAACACGAATTTACAGCAAGAATCTTACAGTTAAAGATTTTATTCAAATTAAGGGAAGCATGTAATTCAACTAAGCATATTGCACAAATTGCAAGTAAGAGTTAAGGCACGTAGACATGCGATTCTAGGCTAAACATAATTACTACATATGCTAAGGCAACTCAGTTAATGTATTTTAAAAGAAGACAACTCCGTTAATGTATTTTAAAAGATGACAAATCAGCAAGAACCGAATTTTTTATAATTAGCCCGTGTACGCTCTCGTCACCTCGCGTACACGGCGCTCACATATCACAAATTGTTATAACAATACCAAATCCTAAGTGGATTTCCCCCACACAAGGTTAAACAAGTCACTTACCTCAAATCTCGCTTAATCAATCGATAAGGATGCCTTTCCCTTGATTTTTCGACTCCGAATGGCCCAAATCTAGCTAAAAGCAATTACATATCATGAATACGACTACAAGAAACTAATTTAAATCATAAGTCTACTACTTTAGCAAAGAATCGAAAAATCGCCCCAAAAGGTCGACCCGGGCCCATGTCTCGGAATCGGGTAAAAGTCACAAAATACGAACACCCATTCGATATTGAGTTCACCCATACCAAAATTACCAAAATCCGTCACCAAGTCGCCACTCAAAGCCCCAAATTAAACACTCCAAATTTCTAGCCTCAAACTCCCAAATTTCACCTTAAATACACACTAACTAGGTGGAAAAATCAATGGAGAAACAAGATTATTGATAAAAAATAAGTACAAGGGACTTACCTCAAGAAATCACTCAAAAATGCTCTCAAAAATCGCCAAGACCCGAGCTCAAAATGTCCAAAATGATAAAAATCACGAACCCTTGATTTAATATAGTGTGCCCAAGCGTTTCGCACCTACGACCAGTTCCATCGCACCTGCGGAACCGCTTTTGCGGTAAATTCCTCTGCTTCTGCGAAAATCACTTAAGTCCCTCAAGGCCCACTCCTGTGTTCCAGGTTCCGCACCTGCGGATTCGCTTCTGCGGTCCCAATCCCGCTTCTGCGGGTGCGCATCTGCGCAAACACGTCTGCTTCTGTGGACAGGCCTCCCCATACTCGCCCGCTCATGCGATCAATCTTCCGTAGAAGCGACTCCGCTTCTGCGACCCTCACACTGCACCTGCGACCACTGGCCAACTCCCCTAGCCCCGCACCTGCGCCCTATTGCTCGCACCTGCGGTAAGCCTTGCGCAGGTGAGATTACACCAGAACCAGCCCAGCACGAGAAAATCTTCTAAAAGTCCAAAAATAATCCGTTAACCATCCGAAACTCACCCGAGGCCCCCGGGACCTCAACCAAATATACCAACCAGTCCTAAAATATCACACGAACTTAGTTGAGCCTTTAAATCACATTAAACAACGTGAAAAGCACGAATTACATATCGATTCAAGCCTAATGAACTTCAAAGTTTCAAACTTCTACATCCGATGTCGAAACCTATCAAATCAAGTCCGATTGACCTCAAATTTTGCACACAAGTCATAATTCACATTACATACCTATTTCAACTTTCGGAATCGAAATCCGACCCTGATATGAAGAAGTCCACTCCCCGTCAAACTTTCCAAAATTCATCAAATTTTCAACTTTCGCCAAATGACGTTAAAATGACCTACGGATCTCCAATTCAACATTCGAACACGCTCCGAAGACCAAAATCACCCTACAGAGCTATTGGAATCGTCAAAACTCCATTCCAGAGTCGTCTTCACACAGTTCGAACTACAGTCAATTCCTATGACTTAAACTTCCATTTTAGGGACTATGCATCCCATTTCATTCCGAAACCATAAACAAATCCTCTTGGCAAGTTACATAACCACAAAATGAAGTAGATGGAGCAATAAATAGGGGTTCAGGGCTACTACTCTCAAAACGACCGGCCGGGTCGTTACAAAATTCGGGCATAGATTTTTTTAAAATTTTTAATTAAATTTATTATTTAAAAATTATATGAAAAAAATACTAGTATAAGGTAACATAGTTAATAATGAATTTTTTTAAAAAGAGTTTAACAAAATTATTCCAAAAAAAAAAATTGACTCTCCAAATAATAATACATTCACATCATCAACTGAGACGAAGGGAGTATCGTTTTTCTCTAATAAAGATGTTTGGAGAATAGATACAACATTGCTGAGAAAAATCTACCACAAATTTAGAGCTCAAGTCTATGGATAGAACAAATAAAAAACTCTTAGGGGGTTGAATCTATTGGTAATATAGATTCCATAGACCTTTCTGAACTCAACTAGCTTTTGTGGGAGAAATAGCTAGTTGCAAATAGTAAAATAGTAATTTAAAAAATATAAAGCAAAATATTATGCTTTGAAAGAAACAACAAACCGACTTTCTTTTTTTCCCGGATTTGCACATAAAAATCTTACATTGAATATAAGCATTCCATCGACTTCATATCCGAGACTCAAATTCTAGAATTTTAAGTGAAAATAAAAATATGCAATAATGGAAATGAAGTACTTAGAATCAGTAGAATTCCAAAATTACGGGAACCATGGTTTCACGCCGGGAGAACAAGATTCAGATTAAAATATTACCACTTCATCACTATTGATAACAAACCGACAATTTCATAGATGATACTAATTGATACACCCCCTTGATCTATATGGTTGTCTTTTAATTAAAAAAACTATAGAAATCTTATCTTAAAATAATTTGACGTTGACTTCTTATTAGAATTCGAAATAATAAAAGGAAAACGCTTTACGCTAGCAGAAAATTAAAAGCTAAAGAAAAAAGGAGCTTCAGAAAAAAAGAAAGGAGGACCTTTGGACGGAGACCAGAGGAGTCGACATCAAAAACATTTTTAAATAAAAAGACCATTAAATACCTAAAACTCATTCCTTCTTTCCATTTCTGCGAACACTACTTATCTCTTCCTTTCTCCATTCCCGCCTATAATTCAAGGATTGAACCCGTAACCACCTCCCGTTGATCCTATCAGACGACTAATTACAGATTCTCACTTATGGTTAGTTCCTATCCTTTTATGTGTTACTATAATTTACTCAAGTTAAACTATGAGAACAACTTGTTTAATTGTGTTTTCCTTTTTGCAGCATTTGTGCTTAAGGGCCTAAAACTTGATATTGAGCAATAAGACGAGAAAATCAAATGGATGCATGTATCAAATTTTGTGCTTTGTTTGTGTATCTATCTCTGGCTTTGAGTTGCTTCTCTCCTTTGGGATCTGTCTCTCAACTTTTGCCTGCAGAGGAAGGTAGTTATATTTTCTCTCCTTTGACGGTTTCTGCAAAATATTAGTACTATAATTGTTCTTTTTTCTTCCTCTTCTTATCTATAAATTAAACACGCTCTTTTCTTCTCTTTGATTTTCATCCCCATACATTGATGATCTGTGTTTGTTCTTGTGCATACTGCGTTTCCTTTTTTATTTTCGTCTTTAAATTTGTTTTCTGAAAGCTAAAACTGTTTTCCTGTTCCAGATTGATTCAAATGTGGTTGCCTTTCGTGCTATCCATGTCTGCTTTTTCTTTTTCCTTTTTTTTCTTCCCTTTTTTTTTGTTTCGTTTGGTTTTTGTTACTGTTGTGGTGTGCGGATATTTTGTTTGTTTGTGTTCTTTGATTTTTCAATATTGGTTAATATCTAGCTAATAAAGTGGTCTTGCATAATGAAAGAATATCCTGTCCAGACCTTTTCGTTCATTATTATTCTATTATGAGTTTATGTTCTCTGCGGTAGAAATATAAAAAGTAAATAGTTTTACATTATAAGAATAAGTTGACATATATTTACTGGAAAATTTGTCTGATATTATAACCTAGAAAGCAAAATAATAATTAAATTACAATAATAATATAAAAAATTATAATATAACTTAACCTTTTTCATTGAAGTGATGGCCGCGTTGAATGTCTTACTGTAAAGGGTCAATTACATGCGTATTTTTCTATTGTGAGATGCTAATCACCTTGCATTTAACATGTTTTTTGTTGATTTTTTAATGGTTAATTGATTCCTTTTCTCCCCCCCCTTCCCCTCAACCCCAAAGCGAAATTTACTGCTTTCAACATCTCTGCGCGTCAGACAAAAACAAAACAATTACTCCCTAATTTCAAATATCGATTATTTTAATAAATTGAATTTGTTTTAAGATATTTGACGCTTTTAAAAAAAATTATTAGCTCATTTGATCGACTTCTAATTAGTGAAATATTAATCAAGTAACTTTTAAGGAGGAGAGATAAATGATAGTTTAAATAAATACTTTTATTATTAAAACTATAAAATTCTTTCTTAATGAGAGCACAAAAATCATATTTAAAGATATAGTATATATTATGAGTACGTGTTTATCACGTAGAACTATGTATATGTATGTACTATAAAATTAGAAAAACGAAAAACGTGTATATTTTAAGAGGTGCGCCTGTTCCCTTTGGATCATGTATGTCTTATAGGCTGAAATTAAGTCAAATACTCCATTCGGTCCACTTTGTAATTTTTTTATCTCTTTTTATGGTCCATAATATTTAATTTTTTCAGATATTAAGAGTGACTTCTTTCCAAAGTTGTCTTAGGAGTAAAAAGCCTTGAAGTAATTTGTTATATTTTTAATGAACAAATTAAGGTTAATACGGTTAATTTCATTATTAATTAATGTTTAAAAGGTAAATTTCTTAATATGTGTGAAAAGAACTAAAAAAATCGGAGGAAGTAACAGCTACCGACCAGTCTATCCTTCACCTTCTTCAATACCAGTGAGGGCTCAGTGCTATCATTCTGGGTATAGCCCAAAATGGCTTGCTTTTCTTATCTATATGCATTTTTCTGATACTAATTCACTATGATACGCTACATCATTTTAAATCATGCCAAGGTATTTGGCTAGTCCTAATCCCGAAAATTGTGAAATCTAAGTGTCCGATATTCTTGAATTTTTGGCACGAAATTCTATGCTATAGTGGTCGGGCTTCTAGCAATGATGCTTTATCGATAGGTGTGATGGAATAGATGATATTATTCTATTCTTAACTAAAGATTTTAAATTTGAGCCTTGGGAATGAAAAAAATTCGTATAGCGCTTTCATTTTTAATATTTTCTGGGACGCTAATTAATCTAGATTAGTCAGATTAGTGAATAATAAATATCAGATAATTACAAAAAGGAAAATAAAAAAATAAAATTTATACTCTAGGCAAGACTTATTCTATTGTACATATATTCTTTTCAAGACTATCCATTCTACGTCGGAGCATCAAACAACAGTAATAATCACAAACATGATCGATGCTTTATATGTAAACTAATCCAATGTTACCCTGGTAACTTTACTTGAGGTGCAAGAATTTGCTCTTCAATATCATCTGGATATTGTAACGATTGAAATATAATTTAACTTTGATGTCACAGTTAAAGTTCTGGAAACAATATCAATGAAACTTCAGAACACAACTTGGAACGTCAGCAGAGCCTCTTGCAATGAGGGGAGAGGTTTCAACGTGACAGATCCTGCTTTTAATAAAATTCTCAGCAATGTAACATGCGACTGCTCATTCAATGACAGCTCAGTTTGCCATGTGGTGACCATGTAAGCGCTCCTTCTTTATACGTTGAATCATATCTTAATATGTGAATTATGCTACAAGGAAGACTCATTATTGTAAGTATTTCAAGGTTGCAAAGATTTTCTTCTGTTATTTATATATATGAAGAAAGAAAAGTGCTGTATGTCCATTTAATCGAGTTTAAGTTGTGTGCAGTGATTTTATATATNTTTGGCCTTTTTCGTTCGACAAGTATCTTAATATTTATTTTTTCTAATTCTCGAAATACTCTTTTCCTAGATAAAATTCTTAATTCCATCTCCATTTCATTTTCATTGTCGTTCTTCTCCTCGAGAAAATACTTTTAAACTTTTTTTGGTAAATAACTTTATTTAGTCATTTTAAGAGAAATTATTTTTCAATGTTATTTTACCAAACATATTAATGGCTTATTATCAGTTTAAGTAATGCTTTTCAGCACTTAATGCTCGTCAACTACTTCAATCGTGGCTCTATATTTCCCTATTAAAGTACTATTTGGACACTAATCTATATTGGCGTTTTAATTTCTTTCTTACCTCAAAGGAGAAAGATATTTTTGATTGATCAACTGCACTTGTTACTGGCATTCAAAAACTTGACATTTAGCATTGTGGCCGACGTAATAGGGTGTAAAGAGCGTCCAAGAACAATGACTTCTTGTGAATTATATCCCTTTGAGTCTTATAACAATAACAAATCAGTGTAATCCTATAAGTGAGATGTAAAAATGGTAGTGTGTACGTAGACTTTACCCTATCTTTAAGAAGGCAGAGTGAGTGTTTCCAGAAGACCCTCGATTTAGGCAAGATAAAAGGAAGGGCAACAACAAACACATTAATAAAAAAATCGAAGCGAAAATACAAAACTAATACTAGTTAATGCAATCAAAAAATCGAAACGAAAGTAATTACAAGTAATAATAGAAGTCATGGGAGTACGAAAAACACAAATGACACTAAGTCATGTACTAAAGCTACTGTGCTACCTAACCATTTATCTTTATTCTCAACCTGCATAACTTCCTATCCATGATCATGTTCTCAGTAAGTTGGAGCAACGCCATATCTTGCGTAATCACCTCTTCCCAATACTTTTTCGGCCGGTCTCTACCTATCCTTAGGCCCTTCAAAACCAACCTCTCACGCCTTCTCACCGGTGCATTTGTGCCTCTCCTCTTCACAATATTTAAAGTTTAAACCCTGTTATTTTTTTTCCTAGCTAAACTCCTCTACCGTTAGGTGTTAATAAATATTTTTGATTTTCTCTCCTGTTTTTGTTGATACAGCCAATTGAAGGGTCGTAATTTGACAGGAATTCTACCTCCTGAATTTGCAGAGCTTATTCATCTGCGAGAATTGTGAGTATCAGTTAATTCCATAACATTATTTTGATTATAGTTTTCTCTGCATTCAGTCATAGGATAAGTTATTTTATTTTATTTCTCGTAGCTTTAAAATTCAAATTTCCACTGCATCAATGTAACACAATGACAATTAGTTAGTGGTTGGTTCCTTGAGCCTAATTGATGATGGGACCTATCTTTCGTGTTGATATTTTGATGTAATGAGCTTTTTTGGGTGAATAATTATGGCCAGAAAGTTAATAGGAAAACAAACACAGGATTACTCTCATTTGTTTTCACAGATAAATTTGAAAATTTTATGTAAGCAAACATACAGAGAGTGGCATGTATTATGAAAGAATGGAATTTTACCAATATAATTGCTTAAAATTAGGGTATTTCTGAACAGAAATCCACTTGGTTAAATCTCTATTGGAATACTTTTGGAATTTTCCTGAGGCAAACTATCAAAATTTTGCCTTGTAAACTCTTGAATACAGAAACTGTCATGTGTTGTTATTCAATTTTTGTACAAATCATAACAGTGACAAGTTCATTGTTTGTTGCTTTATATGCAACAAAGTCTATTGAGTTGTGTAAACCATAGACTTAAAAAGTGTGAAATCTGAAAGTTTAAACTGGACCATAACATGCAAAATTGGAGTCTCAATTAATTTTTGCATTTTCAGAGATCTGTCTCGCAATTTCTTAAATGGATCGATTCCCTCAAGCTATGGCAAGCTTCGTGTCACTATTCTGTAAGTTTGTTTTCCCTTTGATCTTTCTACAAAGTTTCAGTGAAGAAGTTTTTCTTTTCCTTTTTTTTTTCTTACATTTTGGTCAAACTCATAAATATATAGGTCGTTGTTGGGTAACCGTATCAGTGGTGTGATTCCCAAGGAATTAGGTGATATTGACACACTGGAAGAACTGTAAGTAAAAGATATTGCATAGTTTCTTTTATATTTCTACATACTTTGGTTGTACCTAATTGGATGTCACATTCATGAAATGGAATTTTCAGAAATCTGGAAAATAATCTACTTGAAGGACCTCTTCCTCCAAACCTTGGTAGTTTGAGCCGCCTGAGTAAAATGTAAGTCATAGTAATCAGATATTCAATGTCTATTATCTACTTATTATTACTCTTCTTCCAAAATATTTGGCACTTTTCGCTTCTCGATATTCATACTAAAATATATAGTTTCTTAAGATTTAAGTTTTGGTATAAAGAAAGAGTTAATCTGGTCCGATTTAGCTCCAAAATTTGGTCAAATTGACTCAACAATAAGCAAAATGTGCCAAACAAATCGGAACGAATGGTGTGATTTTTCAGTTATCATGGTTAATTGAAGGAGCATTTTGCAGGTTTCTTACTGCCAATAATCTCACAGGAACTATACCTGAGAACTTCAGAAATCTTAAGAACTTGACAGAATTGTAAGTAAGAAATTTTAGAAGCACATCTGCCTTTTGTGTTTTCTATCTCTTAAGTCTTTAACTCTTTAGTCTGTTTGCAGTAGGATAGATGGGAATAGAATATCTGGAACCATACCAGATTTTATTGGCAATTGGACCAAAATGGACAGATTGTGAGTATGCATCTAATAGTAGCAAATCTTGATGCAATTTTCTTCTCCATGAAGAATTCTAAACTTTAGACCAACAAAAATATGGTAGCATACATAGTATATAATTGCGATTATCATGAAACTTTTTTGCAGAGACATACAAGGAACGTTAATGGAGGGACCTATTCCTTCTACAATATCCCAGTTGAAAAACATAACCGAGTTGTAAGTTCGCACTTCTCTGCTTTTTATAGTCGCATAACTGTTAAATTCACTTTTATAAGAAAGGATATAGGGCTATTATAGTGGAAGTTCTCATGTGCATTGTTATTGTCAGGAGAATATCTGATTTGAGAGGAAAACAAATGCGATTCCCAAATCTTCAAGGCATCACTCAAATGAAAAGGCTGTGAGTAGTATATGCTTGTAGTTGGAAAATTAGCAATTACATCTGTTCATCATAATTTCTTACGGTTCTCTAATTTGACTTTATTGATGCAGGATTTTGAGAAATTGCTCAATTTTTGGTCCAATTCCGGGATACTTAAGTGACATGAAGGATTTGAAACTTTTGTAAGTTTGTTTTCTTTTTATTTTTTAATCATTCTGTTTATTATTTCATGGGAAACTTTTTCTCTAGCAAGTACAGTGTTTTGGCTCTTTACATTTTAGTTTGTCAGGAGTACTAGAACATAGAAGTCTAGGTGAGATGTATTCGGAGATGACATAGATTTTGATGATTCTCAGCTATGATTATACTTGAATAGCAAATATTCTTGTGTTGACTGCCTCTTCTTTATCTTTTCAAAAGTTGGAATTTATAAGATATTAATATTACTCTTCTATCTAATTGCGAATACGACTGCCAAGTTTAACATTAGACTTGGAGATTGTTGTACAAGATTTGTTGATTGACTAGTCAGAACAAATAAGACGCTTTCTATATTCATATCAAGGTCTAAACTCTAAATTGAAAAGGTGATGTAACAGGATGCAGTTTTTCTTGTTTGCCGTCTTCTCTTTTTGCAACGGTGTGTATACTTTCATCGAATTTCGTAAATTTTTAATCTGCATATAATACAAACCCAAAATCACCCTTCATAGTATAAAAGGAAATTCTTCTACATACCAACGTTTTCCTCTTAGTTGCATGATGGAGTACAGATTGTCACTAATTGTTCGGATACCAAAGTGGTTCAGTTTTCTGTCCGGTTTGATGCTGATCCTGCCTCTGATAAGTGTTATTTATTTGCAGGGATCTGAGCAACAACATGCTGAATGGTACAATCCTAAATACATTGGGGCAGGTGAATTATGATAACATGTAGGTACCCTTACAAGTTGAAGCTTAAATCTTGTACATGCTTCTCTCCCTCAAAGTTTTCGTTCATTTATAACAAGCAACAGTTTTATCTGCGATGTAGGTTTCTTTCTCACAACACATTAAGCGGAGCAATTCCCAGCTGGATATTGGATAGTAAAGAGAACATGTTGGTATTTGCTCTAGTTTGTTTCTTTTTCTGCATTTTAGTAGTAAAGTTTGGTTAATATTGTAGCTAGTAATGCATTGTAGCATGCTACACCAAACTTTTTGCTTGGTGCAAGAATGCATTTACAAGAATTTGGTGTCTATTGAGTTCATGACAATGATCATCTTATTTTTATACAGCGATATATCATACAACAATTTCACACCAACATCTGCTACAGGATGCCAGTCCTCTACCATGTGAGCTTTATTCCTCTTTTTTTGGGTTCATATATTATTTCTGTTTGTTAAGTGAAAATTTTGGTCCTATAATTACATCACTTACAAACCTTCGTTCTTCTGCAGAAACTTAGTCTCCAGCTATTCAAATGCAATGACCAACTCGTAAGTCCTAAATGTTGTCTTATGCATCAGGTTGCTAGTTTATATGATGCTTTCTGTCTAATTATGTGGCTTAATCTATTGGAAATTTCAGGAGTGCCTGGTGTTCCAAGAAAGACCTCCCTTGTCCCGCAGAAGCTAAACGTAAGAGTTACAGCCTATTAACCATATTTTTTTATAATCCAAATTTCTTAACTTGGCCCTTGAGAGGGCCTGAAGTAGCATTGCGTATTGTTTACCCCTGAACCAACCCTTGGAGTGGCAATTTATGTACTTTAATTATCTTTGGAGTTAAGAGAGAATTTCAGAACCCTTCTTTATGCCCCGCTCTTTATGTCATCTGCAGATCATTCGCTTTTCATAAACTGTGGAGGAAGTAGTACTAATTTTGAGGGAAATGAATATGAGGAGGACTTGACCAATAGAGGTCCATCATATTTTTTTGTGTCCTCCTCCGATAGATGGGCTTTCAGCAGTTCAGGAGTGTACACGGGTTTTCAAGATGCCAGTTATATTGCAACAAATACATTTTCACTGAACGTGGCTGGTGCTGAGTTTTACAAGACAGCACGCCTTGCCCCTACTTCTCTCAAATATTATGGGCTTTGCCTGCGACAAGGTAGCTACAAAGTGCGCCTTCACTTTGCTGAAATAATGTTTTCTAATGACTCCACATATAGCAGCCTCGGAAGGAGGATATTTGATGTATCAATACAAGTAAGTGGAAACCTAACCTCTTCTGTAAATATGTAACTTAACTATTGATTCACTCAGTTCTGATATGATTTGGTAACTTCTTGGATTAGGCTAGAAGGTACTTGAGTGTTGATTTACTGAGTTCTGATAAGATTTTAAACTTATTGGTATGCAAGGTACCAATCTATTGGAGATAATGCAGTATATTTTGATTTCTTACACAGGGAAATGTAGTTTTGAAGGACTTCAACATTATGGAGGAAGCTAAGGGTGTTGGGAAAGGAATTACCATGGACTTTAAAGATGTTTTCGTTAATGGTAGCACTCTGGAGATTCACTTGTATTGGACGGGGAAGGGGACCACCGCTATTCCTGACAGAGGTGTATATGGACCTCTGATTTCAGCTATCACAGTGACACCAAGTCAGTATATCTCTGCCTATAGACTTTATCTTCCCAAAATTTTATCTTCAATGAAATCCCACTTTCTTCTTGCAGACTATAATATTGATACAGGCCGGTTACATGTCGGAGCTGTTATTGGCATTGTACTTGGTTCAATTGTGGTGCTTCTGATAATTGTGGTTGTTCTGTGGAAGAAAGGCATTTTTGGAGGGCAAAATAAGGAAGAAATAGGTACTACATACGTCAAAGCATTTATTCACTCTCTACATGCTTAAACAAATGGAAATGGAGGAGCTACAACGACAAAAACTTCGTATTCCTTGTTATGGTCTGAAACTATTTGATAGTATAGCGATATTTCTGTTATGATAATCTAGTCGCTTCATACAAATTAATCATCTGCCTTTAATTGATCAGCATTGAGACGATTGTTTTGTTGGTGGATCGACATCATGCCATATATCATAAATAGTTAGCACACAGCAAAATCTTCATGACTGATTAATCTGTCTTCATCATACAGATGTTTTAGGAGATCTTTATGTACTGACGTTTGTAGTATTCTTCTTGTTACAGAACTCAGAGCCCTTGATTTACAAACAGGTCATTTTAGACTTAGACAAATTAAAGCTGCTACAAATAACTTTGATCCCGCCAACAAAATTGGTGAAGGAGGGTTTGGACCAGTTTACAAGGTAGCTACTCTCACTATCTCTATCAATACTGATTTTGTGGTAGGACAACTTGCAGTTCTGTGGCCATACTTCCCATTGCTTATGCTTGATGTTGTGTTTATAGGAAAATACAGTAGTGCTGAATAGTTAAGTAGCAACATTCTTTTGTCTGTAATATGATGATTGTGAACTAATCCTAATCCTGCTGTCTGTAGGGTGTACTTGCAGATGGTGCAATAATAGCTGTTAAGCAGCTCTCTTCCAAGTCGAAGCAAGGAAATCGTGAATTTGTCAACGAGATAGGCATGATTTCAGCTCTACACCACCCAAACCTTGTGAGGCTTTATGGCTGTTGTATAGAAGGGAACCAATTATTGGTGATATACGAATACATGGAAAACAACTGTCTTGCTCGAGCTCTTTTTGGTAAAGCTTTGAAACATCATTTTTAAAATCATTAATCATCGCAATGATATTTTATGCCACCCTATATTCCTCTATTTCTCCTTTTCTTAGGCCGTGACGACCAGAGGTTGAACCTAGACTGGCCAACCAGAAAAAGGATATGCTTAGGAATAGCAAGAGGGTTAGCTTACCTGCATGAAGAATCAGCATTGAAAATTGTTCACAGAGATATAAAGGCAACCAATGTGCTTCTTGATAAAGATCTGAGTGCTAAGATTTCAGATTTTGGATTGGCAAAACTAGATGAAGAAGAGAACACTCATATTAGCACCCGAATTGCTGGAACAGTGTGAGTGAGCCTTCTTATCCTCACTTTCATTGTACTTTGTCTAGATATAATCCTCTCTTTGTTTAGAAACAATAAAGAGCATATATCAGTTTGAAAAAGAAATCCTGTAACAGTAGTGAACTCTTCTGACTTTGAGGCACAACTAAACACCTCAAAAGTTCTTGCTACATGCAATGAGAGAGTAACAGTTCTGTGCATTTGAATTTTGTACTTCGTCGCAGTAACATGGTTACTAGGAAGTATCTTACTTTTCTTTTTCCTGTTTGTTAGAGGTTATATGGCTCCCGAGTATGCAATGAGAGGCTACTTGACAGATAAAGCTGATGTTTATAGCTTTGGAGTTGTTGCATTAGAGATTGTCAGTGGGAAAAGCAACACAAACTACAGGCCAAAAGAGGAATTTGTTTACCTTCTTGACTGGGTAAATCGTCAAACTTATTCATCATAAATCTTCCATGTATATTTTTGATTAATTGCAATCTGGATTTTCTTTGATATCTCCATTTCTCATTCCTACTGGATGAGAAAGAAAATTTTAGAATCATAGTTCTTTCATTATTTCTACTCACATTCTTATTGATGCATTTTTGCACATCTTACTGTCTTTTCCTCCCTCATCTCCAATCTTTGTCTTGCTTTCGATAACAATTTTGTTTTCTATTTGGAGTGCAGGCTTACGTCCTACAGGAACAGGGAAATCTCTTAGAATTAGTGGATCCACGTCTCGGATCAAGTTACTCCAAAAAAGAGGTAATGCAGATGATAAATCTGGGTCTGTTGTGCACCAATCCCTCTCCCACTCTCAGGCCGTGCATGTCTTCTGTCGTGAGTATGCTCGAAGGAAAAGTTCCGGTGCAAGCACCACTAGTTAAGCGCACCACATCAGATGACCACATGAGATTCAAATCTTTTGAGAAACTATCACAAGACAGTCAAACACAGGTTTCAAGTTACTCTCAGGACAGTCAAGTGCAAAGTATGAATGCACCTTGGAGTGATTCCTCGGTCTCTGTCCCTGGTAAAGATGAAACTACTTCCACGAGAAGGCTTCTTCCAGATCTTTATGATGTAAACCTAGAATGATTGACGGATAATACTGCAGAATTTTAGAAGTAGCTTTTGATTTCGATCATGTAATTAAGCAACGATTTTTACGTGTTACAGAGGTCAAGATAAGTTTTGCTTGTTATATTGATTTCCTTCCTGCTGGAGATTGTGTTCTTACACCTCAATTTTGTATTCTCTTAGAAGTTCCAATTTCAACGAGCAGGCAGGCGTTACACTTTTGAACCTTTTTGACGGCACATTTTTGCCAATGACCATGACATAGATTTGTCCTTGCTATCTTAACATCCGATAAAAGTCGGATAACAACTTCTCCCTCCCTTTCAATTTAAATGTCTTAGTTTACTAGGCACGAGCTTTAAGAAAATATCGGGAATTTTTGAATTTTGTGGTCTTTAAATAATTATGTGTGTATGTACCAAAATGTCCTTTAAATCTTGTGGCCCTTAAACCTGCCATGTAGAATATTAGAGTTAAAGAGATACCAAATATTGAAAGAGTCATTCTTTTAGAAAAAAGGAAAGTACGACACTTAAATTGTGAAACAAAGGGAGTATTAATCTTTTAAAGGGTAACTTTCATGATCCTGATAGAACTGATGGCATTTTAGGTGTCGCTAGAAAAACAAATAAATTGTTCCTGATGGCATTTTAGGTGTCGCTAGAAAAATAAATAAATTGTTCCTGATGGCATTTTAGGTGTCGCTAGAAAAATAAATAAATTGTTCCTTATAAATCAGTTAGTCTTGTCGTTAGAATTTTTTTTCAAAGGTGAGTCCCTCTTGTCACCTTTATTTTCATTGTCCAAATGTTTTACTCCACTAATCTTTTGTGATTACATGTATGGATATGAATCAAGATTTCGGACACACTTGATGACATTGATGAGATCATGGTTTGGCAAGATATGAATATATGTTTCTTTTCCATGTTTTCCAGTTTGAATTCATGCAAGATATATGATGAGAACACTAGAAAGGAGAAACCACAGAAATTAGCAATACAGGAGAAATAATTAAGCTATCCAATTAACCTGATGAAAATGCATGTGGCTAGCTGAAGAATTCTGTGGTAGAGTAGAGTGAAGAAAATGTTGATACTTGATATGCCAAAAGCGAGAAAGTATTGTCCTTCAAGAGGTTAAACAGACTTTTCATTTGATTAAACTCTAGTTTCTTTAGAACAATCTAATGGTAAATATACAGAGCTAAAGTCTGCAAGTTTTCTAAATTATTTCACCGAAAAGTTAAAAAATTTAGAGGCGCCATTTTCATGATGTAACGACCCAATAGGCTGTTTTGAGTACTAGCTCCTATTTCTGTGTTTTGAGACCTTATATAACTCAATTTGATGATTTATAACTTGCGTGCGTGGTCCGAGTCGTTTTCCAGAAAATTTATATGTGAAATTTCGAAGAAAATGTGATTTTTGACTTTAAATGTGGCTAGAGTTGACCACAGTCAACATTTTTGGTAAACGACCTCGGATCAGTGATTTGATGATTCTGGTGGGTTCATATGATGATTTCGGACTTATACGCATGTTTGGTTGGGGTTCCGAGTGACCCGAGGCCGATTCAACACTATATGTGAAGAAAATAAAAAAACTGAGTTTTGAACTTGAAAATCTTGAGTTTTAGTGATCGATTCTTGAATTTTGATATTATTTTAATGATTTGAATTTGCGAGCGAGTTTGTATGATGTTGTAACACTTGTGTGGATGTTCGGATTGGAGCTCGAGGGGCTCAGGTGAGTTTCGGATGCGTTGCAGATAGTTTTGGTATAGCTGATGAACAACTGGTGTTGCTGAACTGCAGGTCTCGCATTTGCGAGAACCTGTTCGCAAATATTGTAACGACCGTTTTGAGCTTTAGCGTTCTATTCGATTGTTTGAGACTGTGAGTAGCTTCATATTATGTATTATGACTTACGTGTATGGTTGGTTTCGATTTTAGAGCGGTTCAGGATTGATTTGGAAGAATGTTTCTCGTTTTAGAAGCTTTAAGTTGGAAGAGTTGACTAAAGTTTGACTTTTAGGTAAACGAACTCGGAATCGGGTTTTGATTATTCCGATAGGTTCATATGATGATTTTGAACTTGTGCGTATGTTCGAATTTGGTTTCGGAGGTTCCCAGAAGAATTCGACATTATTTGTCGAAAGTTGGCAATTTGAAGAACTTAAGAGTTCATAAGTTTGACCAAGAGTTGACTTTGATGTTATTGGATTACAATTGGTATTCCGAGACTTTGGATAGGTCTATATAGTTGAATTGAACTCATGTGCAAAGTTTGAAAGTAATTCGAAGTGTTTAAGTGTGATTCAGACACTCTTTTGAAAGAATGGAGATTTAACTTAAGAGAAGTTCTATTCAGTTTGATTCTCGATTCTTTGTTGTGATATTTTTATGGGTGTTTTGAGGCTTTGGATAAGTTTGCATGATGTATTTGTACTTGTTGGTATGATTGGATGGGGTCTCGAGGGGCTCAGGTGTATTTCAGATCATTGGTTGAGAAACTAGTTATGTTAAAGATTTAAAATTTGACCATGATCAATATCGGGTAAAGATGGCCTCTTTTAGGTGTTTTGAGTGCGCGAGCAGGTTCGTAGCGTATTTTATAATTGAAATGCATATATGATTTGTGTCCGGGAGGTCCCGAATGAGTGTTTTATTTTATTTTTTATTTTTTTATTCCCTTCCTCCAAGAGCTCCCCACCTTGTTCTCGGGGTGACCCGAACTCACAACCTATTGGTTGGAAGTGGCGAGCGCTCACCACTTGAACAACCTACTCTTGTCGGTCCCGAATATATTTTGGGTGTTAAAATGAAGATTTTCATATTGCTGTTTTTTTTCCCAGGTGTAAGTAATTACGAAAATGCTAGTTATATCCCTGAAATTTTCAGATTGCTTTTAAAACTTCAAAAAATCATATCTCCCTCATTTGAAGGCCAAATTGGGTGATTCATGAGGCTATCTTGGATGTAATTTAACAAGGATCGTGATTGGCTTATCAAACATAAGTTTCGGGATTATCTAGAACCTAATTCGAGCTGGGACAACTGCTATTATATTTTTCTTGTTACGAAATTTAGTTACCTTTTCTCACAAGGTTTTGGAGCTCGGTTTTGAGTGATTTTGGAGAGAATTTTTATTATTTGGATTGGGGTAAGTATTTTTGGCTCGGATTTGTTATTATTTTATGATTCCAACCTTGATTTTAGTGTTTGATTAATGATTTGAATTGGAGAAATTGGGGATTTGAGTAAAGACTTTCTAAAATATGAATTGATGGTTTGAAGGCCGATTTGAGGTCGGAATTGAATGATTTTGGTATAGTAGGACTCGTATCGGAATGGGTGTTCGGAATTTATAAGTTTTGTAGGGTTCCGAGGTGCGGACCCGATGTTGACCTTTTGGGTTGACTTTTTAATTTTTATTAAAGATTAAAACTTTATTATCCAAAATTATTTTTTATGGCTTTTATTTATGATATTAAGTTATTTTGGCTAGATTCGAGCCATCCGGAGGTTGTTTAACACGGGAAGGGCTTTTTAGATCATTGATTTAGCTTCTTTGAGGTAAGTATTTTGCCTAACTTTGTGTAGGGGAAGCTATCCCTTAGGATTTGGGTTTAATTATACTATTTGAATTATGTTAAAGACGTGTATAAGAGGTAACGAGTGTGTATACGGGCTTATATGTGAACAGTTGACCAGTTTAGACTCTTAGGTCACTTATAGGCATTTAATTGAAGTTGCTATTATTTGTCCTATCTTTGCGTTGTCAAGTTTATTCTTACATGCCTTAGCTAAAGTTGTTATTATATGTTCTATTTTTCATTTGTCGAGGTTACTCTTATATGCATTTAGTGGTAGTTGTTATTACATGTTATTTCACCCATTGTTGAGTTATTCTCATGTATTTATTTGTAGTTGCTAGTTTGTGCTATCTCTTTCCTTATCGAGCCTAAGTTATGCATTTGATTTGAAGTTGCTATTTCATGAAAATACCTTCATTGTTGAGTTATTGAAGTTGTAGTTGTTGAAAGCTATTAACACTAGGGGTGTTCAGAACCGAACCGTTAACCAAACCGAACTGATGGCTTATTGGGTTATTGGTATCAGGTTATCGGGCTAATGGATGGTGAGCAGATTGAGATTTTATAATTAACGGCTTAACGGTTTGGGGGCGGATTACTCAATTTTCTTATCGGATAAACCGTTAAACCCGTTAAGAATCATTTAAATTTCTTATATACACGTGTCATATCAGCCTAGTGTATCTTGTTGTGCATTTGTGGAGGGTATTTCTCGCTATACTATTTCTCTCTTATTCTTAATTCTTATTAAATAAAGTTTTACAACATATTGTGAAAAGTAATTAATTTTTTTTCTATGTTACAAGATTTAATCTCATTAAAAAATACCTTTGAAAAACAAGTGAGGTTTATATAATTGCAATTCAAAGCATAATAATGAATCTTGCATATTTTTTACCCACCAAAGGATATGCATTATGATCTGAAACGAAACTTCCACTCTTTATTGTTAGCCTCTTTTCATTCTGCAAAAATATTTTATTTTAGCTAACAATGTATGGTACAATTTTTAGCTTTAGATATGTTCAAATTTCAAACTATACAATTAAAAAATATGAAATAAGATGGTCCGGCAAAATGATTATCCCATTGGAGTAAAAAATATGTACTTTTAAATAAGAATGATGCCCTACGATACAGATAGGAGGATGACTTTCATACTAGAAGCTGTTATTTTAATTTCGACGGTTGAAGTTGGACTACATATAATTTTAATTTTCATTGTCACTTAGTCTTAGATTTAACCGATGCACCGCCTGATAACCGCCCGATAATTGCTAATCCGATATCGAACCGCCTGCTATCTTATTGGTTGGCTAACAGATTAGTACATTTAAAAGTTGATAACCGATAAGCCAAACCGTTAAGCGTATTATCTGCCCGATAAGCACCCCTAATTAACACAGTTGTGGTTAAAATTTTTGGTTGTTGGAATATCTTACCTTGTTGGGTTGTTTCTCATTCATTTTGTTATTATTGAGATTCTTGTACACATTGTGGTTGAGCCGTGGCCTATGTGTTGTGGTAACCTTGTTATTGTTGATTTGGTAATGCTGTGGCGT